GTCGTTTGGAGGCCTCCTGGGCCCTTGTGGGGAAACTCCTGGGGTCCTTTTGGGGGGCCTCCTGGGGGTCTCTTGGGGGCGTCTTGGACCGTCCTGGGGCGATTCAGGTTTCTCGGGGACCTTTTGGCAGCTTCCCGGAGGCCTCTGGGGGGCCTCTTGGGGGCCTCTCGGAGCGCCACGTGGGCGTCTTGGGCGTCTTGGTACGCTCTTGCGCTGTCTAGTCCCTTCGGAGGCCGTCTTGGGGGCCTGTAGAGGCCGCGTTGGGGCTCTCTTGGGGCTCTCTTGGGGTCCTCTTGGGCCGTCGTGGGGGCCTCTTGGGGCGTCATGGGGGCCTCTTTGGACCGTCTTGGGGCCCTCTTGGGCTGTCTTGGGGCCCTCTTGGGGGCTTCTTGGGCCGTCTTGGGGCCATTTTGGAGGCTGCTTCGGCCGTCCTAAGCTTCTCAGAGTCGAAGTAGGCGAGGACGTTTAAATCCTTCAAAACCGATGGGACATCTAAGATTTTGGCCTCTGGAGGCGTTCTTGAGGGTCCTCGTTGGGCCCTCTTGGGGCCCTCTTGGGGCGTCTTGGGAGCTTCTTGGGCCTTCTTGGGGCCATCTTGAGCCATCTTGGGGCCGTCTTGGGCCGCCGTGGGGCCATCTGGAGCCGTCTTGGGGCCCTGTTGGGCCCCCGAGAGGGCCAACAGGCCCACAGCATTGATTCTCCATAGGTTGTTGAGCCACGGGAGGGGGATCTTCACCCTGGGTCGACGGATGTGGCGTAGCACTGGGAGGTGGGTGGGTGGAGGAAACGTAATATTGCAAAACAGTACCATTGATAACACTTGTACAATCATTGGATACATGGGATACATTGCATTAAGGCCTTCGCCGGAATGTTGCTTTACAACATCCGCGGACCTGCCTCCAGCAACACATCATCTCCGGACGTGGATTCCTCAGGTGACCAATGATCATCAGGTTTCGTCATGGTGCCCAGTGGCCGATGCGCACTGGGGCGCAAAGCCTGTTCGCCAGTACCATTGGGCAGCCAACGCCGCAGTGGTGCCACGCAGCGCGACAGCGACGGCGCTGGCCACCGGCGTGCCACGCCGTATTCGGGCGGCCTGGTATTTGTCCCCTTTTGACGGCGCCGATGGCACCCAGCCGGTGGGAGTCGGTATAGGCGCTGGCGAGGGTGGTCATGGTGTCTTTGTACCAGATCGCGACGACGTCGTCTGGGCGTGACGTGTCGGTGGTGACATTGTAGCTGAGCTTGAAGTTGATGCCTGCTTGGCCTGGAGCAGCCAGGGCGGTGTCGGCGTCGGCGAGGGCGACGCCGACGGTGGCGCGCGGCCTGCGTTTCCCCCTCGTGGCGTCGTGCCGGCTATGACTGGTGGGGCTCTCCTAGATGGCGACGGTGGATACAGCGGCGAAGGCGTTTTGCAGGGTTGTGTCCAGCTCCACTGGTGCTTGGTTCTCCTCGGGGATCTGGTGCAAATCTCGCGCAGCAGTTCGGGCCCCGCCAGCGTCGGGTTTGCCGCGCCGTGCTCCGTTGACCGGGGCAGCGCCGAAGTAATGGCGTGTGAAGAGCTTGGGGATGGCCTCGGCCTGGGCAACAGCTTCGGCTTCGTGGAGCGTCGCTCGTGTCCACGGGGCGGCCCTGGAAGCGTCCAGGAGGATCTCGGCTTTGTTTTGTCGGCTGGTAGCGTCTCTGCCTCCGAGCTGCTGGAAAGTGCCGTCAACGCGGGATGGGACGGCCCGGCAGTCTGAGGCGCTCGGCTCAGCACGGCGACGGGCACTGCCGTTCCCTGGTAGTCGGTGTTTTGGGGGCCAGGGACGATCACAGCGACGGGGGCGTAGGGACGTAGCTGCGAAAGCAGCCGTTCGCCGTCCCCGTGGCCGTGGAGCGAGGCGCTGGTAGTGAAGGCGTCTGCTGCTGTATTGCGCGCTGGGTTCGCTGAGACTGGGACGGACCATTCTCCTGGGTCGAGGCAGAGGAGCGGAGTTGCCACAACGTCGTCAGAGTCGTCGTCGTCGTCGTCGTCACCAACATCCCTAGTATTACCACGTGTCTGCCGCTGTCGACGTCGTCATATACCGCGCCCGCCCGTGTTACTGGCTCGCACCGAAGTGCCCGCGCGCCAGCGCGGCCTGCGATGTGCGCTGGGAAGTCCCCAGCGGTCAGGGCTACCGCTGCCGCGTCGGTCGCGCCACGCTGGCTGGCCGCTCAGCGTGCGAGCCCTGCGCGCGCTAGCGCGGCCGCAGCGATGCGCCAACCAGCACCAAACAGTCGTCGGAATCGCCGCGGCTTCGGTTTTGCAATCCATTTTGCGTGTGGGTGGGTGGGGTGATTCCGCGATCACTGGAGCGGGCATTTTCAATCAGGGCAGGGTGCGTTGTACAACATATTGTGCACCACCTACGTTGTGCAACATAGACTGCGCCATGTAATTTCCTCGGTTGCTTTTTTTGAACTTACTGCCCCCCAGACTTGTTGATCCGGTTTTGCGATGTGCAGATTGCATGTTATTCTGCCCCGTCGTTCATTCTTCATACATATGAGCTCACATCATTCCAGCTTAACCGGGCTCGACACCCCGGTCATCTTCGTCAAATATTGTTATGCGCGCGCACGGGTGAGCCTATCAAGAGACATCGACATGCAATAATTCTTTGCGCCATATGTGACATCATGCACACACGCGCGTCGATGCGCTCGCTTGCCGAATTCTTTCAAGAACCGATGGGTTTCGTGAGGATTTCAAAATCGAGTGCGAACACATGGCCTCTTATAGAAGTTTGCACGCGGGTTTTTGCGAATCCTTACGAAGACCATGGATTTTCAGCATTGTCATTGGATGCGACCAAACGGGCCTCTCGCGCGCGCATGTCGAAATCATTCGAACGCCCTCGCGCGCGTGCTAGGGGGGCACGGTCCTTGTTAAATGATGCCATGCGGGCCGCTCGCTCGCGTCGGCCGCGAGCGCGCGTGTCGAATTCCTTCCAAAACCTTCATCGCCGTCACGTGGACACCATCATCGCCATCGTGGTGGTCAGCATCGGCGCCGTCATTGGCCTTGTCGTCGTCAGCGTCGTCGTCGTCACCAGCGTCGCTACTATCATCAGCATCGTTTCTGCCGTTGTCGACGTCGTCATGATACCGCGCCCGCCCGTGTTACTGGCTCGCACTGAAGTGCCCGCGCGCCAGCGCGGCCTGCGATGTGCGCTGGGAAGTCCCCAGCGGTCAGGGCCACCGCGGCCGCGTCGGTCGCGCCACACTAGCTGGCCGCTCAGCGTGCGAGCCCTTCGCGTGCTAGCGCGGCCGCAGCGATGCGCCAGCCATCGCCAAGCAGTCATCGCAATCGCCGCGGCTTCGGTTTTGCAAACTAAGTTGCGGGTGGGTGGGTGGGATGATTGCGCGATCAGTGAGGTGGACAATTTCAACTTCGGCAGGATGACCTGCAGTGCGTATGTTGCACCATTTCGACAGCACCACAAAAATCCACATCATAGATTGCACAACGTAGTCGGCACCACGCGGATTGCACCACGCCCGTTGCACCACAGAAAATACAACATATATTGCACCACGCAGATTGCACCACGCACAATCTTTGAAACACATTGCGAAGGGCCCACTCTGGCTACTACAAATCTCTGAACCCCAAGTGGCGTGTGGGCCCGACAATGAGCAAACCGCATCGGACTTTTTTAGAACACGTTGATCGGCTTTTCTCCCAGGACACCACAAACATTTTGCCGGCCAACCCAAAATGGCCCACTTGCGTGGATCCTGTCCGACGGGCCCGAAAATGAACCTCACGTTCGGGGGTTCTACAAACAGCACTTTGGGCGGAACTCTTTTTCTGCCCCCGGTGGTCTGACACGCGCGCCAGATTTGTCAGCGTTCGCGCCAGAACGCGGTTTTCGCCCACGTCTGCGAGGATCGTGCTTGAATTCTTTAGGAACGCAATGTAGCGGCCTTGCACTCATGTGGCTGTTTTGCGTCCACGCGGAGCCGCGCTGCGCAAAACGAGTACACTTTTGGAACGCTGATGTACCCTTCGAGTCCTTTCCCCTCGTCCTCATTTTTTGGCGGAGGCTCACCCTTGGAAAGCTTTCCAGGGGCCTCACGATATCTTTTTGTAGGTGTCTGGAACCTCCTGGGCGCCTTTGGGGGCCTCTTTGGACCACCGTGCTGCGAACCACGGGATCCCTCAACGGCCGGATCACGATCTGGAGTGCTGGGTCGTCATGGGGTTCTCTTCGGTCCATTTTGGTGCCTCGTTGGGCCGTCCTTCGTTTGTAAGCCCATTCGGATAGTTTTGGCGTGATTTTCGGGGTCTACTGGGCGGTCTCGTCTTGGGCGTCTGGTGGGTGTCTGGGACTGCTTGGGGCTCTCGCGGAGCCGTTTGGCAACCAACCCGGCCAGCTTGGAGCCGCCGGGTGCACCCCACAGGAAGCCCAGAAGTACCGGGGGCCCTCTGCAAGGGCGTCCAGGGAACCCCCGGGGCAAGTGATCCAGAGGGCCCCGGCTTGGGGGGGAGGGTGTTTTTCCCCACCCTCCCCAGAGAGAGAGAGAGAGAGAGAGATGGAAAAAACCGGGAGAGATAAAGATCAGCGGGCGACTTGTGCGTATTGTGCCGCGTCCGCGTTAGAGCGAGGCCTGGACGGAGTCCAAACATGGTACGGTGCACGGGCGCCGCTTTCGCAAAAAAAAGAGATGGACAAGTACGGGAAGAAAGGAGGGGAGAGAGGGGACAGGGAGCGGAGAGGAATGAAGGGCAGAGGGTGGAGAGAGGGAGGGGGGGGGAACGTGCCTTGAAAGGTATTTCTGTCGTGCGTCAGCCAGACATAATTTCATGCTACCCACAGGTCCATCTGGATCGAATTGTTCGATTTGTTGGCTTGCTGATTTTCCCGCATTTTGCAAAATCGGCGAATGGAATTCCTGCAGGAGGGGTACTCTTAGCGTTTTGCATCTTCGGATCCGCGGCCAAGTGCTGCGCACTGTGCGAGCTGGCCAGGACGAGAAGGACGGACGCGGACACCGTCATCCTCCAGTAACGCCGAACGTACCTGCTGCGGGGGGTGGACACCGACTGAGACCCGATATCCTGGAGCGGCAGGTGGCGAGGCTTTCTGCGCCCCCTGCCCCCTCACTGCTCCATGCTCCATCATATTTCCCCTCTTGCCTCAGACTCATTAACCTCTTCAACGTTGTATTCTTCTGCATGTCGTATGTCATGCATGCAGCCCAAAAGGTGCCGCCAAGCGTGGCAGGCAGGCAGACAAGACAGTACACGCAAGTTGCGCGTGCGCTATTTTGTTTGTCAGTGTTTTGCGGCAGCGTCGATCAGCCAAGTTGTTGGGCAGAGTTGGGCGGCAGGCTAACAACATTGCGCACGAAAACCTGAGGTTCACGCGCCAGCGGTGTGCGGCACGACGCTGGCGCGCGAATCTCGACACGGTGCTTGCCTGATGCCCAAACGCGGCAGAAGAAGGCATCGAATAATACAAGAAGGGCGAGCGGGGCCAGGAGTGGGCAAAAAGATGCAAAAGGGGGGCGTGGGCGGGGACGACGATCAGGGCCAGCGGGAGCCAGGCAGGGGCTAGCGGCGGGCCCGGATGTGCCGGCGACCACTGCACAGTGCTGTGCGCTGGCGGGACTGGGCGCGGGCATCGGCGATGGCAACCCTCAGGGTCAATGGGGCCAGGCGAGGGCTATAGCAAGGGGAAGTTTCGGCCACGGGTGGTCGCTACAAGCAGGGCCAGTGGCAGATGCTCGTCGGGGATAATGGCGGCCGCGGGTTTTGGCGACGCGCAGGGCCCGCAGGTCAAGGCACGGGCACGGGCACAGGCGCAGCTGTGGCGGCCACAGGCGGTGGCGATAAGCAGTGCTAGAAGGGGTGCGCAGGGCCTGACAGCGGTGGGCACGGGCGTTGGCCAAGAGCATGGCTAGTACGTAGGGCTATGCCAGGGCAGTGAGGGATGGCGACGGGCTGGGGTATGGGCTGGTACGGGCAAGTGGCCTGCACTGCCGGTGGTAGCAAGCAGGGACGAACAGGGCTGGCGGAGCTGGGCTCGTCGTGGCTGACACGCGGGCAGGGCTAGACAGAGATTACGAGTGTCTAGGGCACGGGCGGTGGTGGTGGTGGTGGTGAGCACGCCTATTGGGGCTAGGCAGTGGCAAGTGGTGGATGATGACGAGCACGATGGAAAGTGTGGGTAGACAAGTCAAGTGGCGGGCGCTAGGCTGGTGGGGATGTCCGTCGACAGGGGAGGCGACGATAAGCAGCGCCATAAGGACCACTGGGTAATGCTTGTTTCTGTTGACGGGCACCTGCGATGGCCAAATACAGACCCATATGTTCAGTGGGGCTTGGGTTTTCTTCCCACCCGCGTCGCACCCTCGTTCCTTCTCACCCCTCTTCCTTCTCGCTCGTTCACTCATCAGACATGCGCACACATGCATACACATGCGTCACGCACACGTGCGCACAGATCATACATACACGCACACGCACATACGCACACAACGCACACACACACACTTGCAGCCGCGTGCACGCACACGCACACGCATACACAATCACACACACACATACACACGCACACGCACACACACACACGCACGCACGCACGCACGCACGCGCGCACATCCACACCCACACCCACACCCACACCCACACCCACACCCACATTCACACCCACACCCACACCCACACCCACACCCACACCCACACCCACACCCACTCCCATACCCACACCCACACCCACACCCACACCCACACCCGCACCCACACCCACATGCACACACACGCACACGCACACACACGCACACACATTTGCAGCCGCGCGCACGCACACGCACAAGCAGACACAATCACACACACACACAC